CATTCCTAAAGAGTATAGTAAGTAGAAGCGACTCTTTAAAGAGGAGAGAGGCAAGGTAGCCTTACCTAAACACTAACTATAGGATTATAAGATACACTTACAGCCTAGGAAAGAGCCTCTATAGGGACCCTTATACGTAATATCTAAGAAAGAGCTCAAAACCCTAAACAAGTAGCTAAAAGAGAAATTAGAAAAAGGCTAGATACGGAAGTCGACATCCTCGGCAGCCTTACTAGTAATATTCGTTCCGAAAGCCGGATTAGACGAAGGACGGCTAGTAGTCGATTTTAGACGACTTAACGACATTACAATTAAGAATCGGTACCTACTACTAAACATCGAAGAAATGCAAGACCGATTAACTAGATTAGACTAGTATACGAAGATTGACCTACGCGATGCGTTTTACGCAATATGTATAGTAGCTAGATACGAATAGATAACAGCATTCCGAATAAGATATAGGCTTTACGAATTCTTGGTTATGCCTATAGGACTTATAAATGCCCTAGCGTTATATCAAGACCTTATAAACGAAGTCCTCCGAGACCTTCTAGATATATACGTTATCGTATATATAGACGATATCTTAGTCTATACTAAGGGAGCTCTCGCGGACTATATACGAATAGTATAGGACGTCTTTGAACGATTTACTTAAGTAGGATTTAAGACTATACCTAAGAAATGCGAATTCTATAAGAAGGAAGTCAAATTCCTAGGATTTATTATTAGCACTATAGGAATCAGGATCGATCTAGAAAAAACCAAGTTAATACAGGAATAGCTAACGCCTATATACGTTAAAGACGTACAATCATTCCTAGGATTAGCTAATTATAACAGAAAATTTATCGAGGGCTACTCTAAGACAGCGGTACCCCTTACGGAGCTTATAAAGAAAGACAAGAAATAGAACTAGAGCACGAAGGAAGACGAAGCGTTTAGACAGCTAAAGAAGCAATGCGTTTCTACGCTAACGCTACGATTATTCGATAGGAATAAGGCGGTCTAGATAGAAACAGACGCGTTAGATAGGGCTATAGGAGCATGCCTTATATAGGAGCATAACGGGAAACGATACCCGGTAGCCTATTACTCGAGAAAGATGTTACCCGCGGAACAGAACTACGATATCTATAATAAGGAGCTACTTGCAATAGTTGCATTACTATAACACTAGCGAGTATACGCGGAAGGAGCACTAAGTCTTACGATTCTTTCTAATTATAAGAATCTAACTTACTTTACTACGACTAAAGTACTAACCCGAAGACAGGCCCGCTAGTTAGAGCTACTAGGACAGTATAAGTTCGAAATCCGCTATACCCTAGGACGCGAGAACGGACGAGCCGACGTACTAAGCCGCCGTAGCGACTATATAGAGGGTTACGAACTAGTGCAGTAGCAGATATTAAAAGCAAACTAAGACGGAAGCCTTAGTGCTAATACAAAAGAATTCAACTATATTATACGAGTTCTTTAGGACATAGAAGAACAGTTTCTAATCGAACATAGGAAATACTAAGTACCTAAGGAACGAGTTACGGAGTATATACGACAATACTACGACGGACTAGAAAATAGACATCCTAGAGTTTCAAAAACAATAGAACTAGTTAAGCGAAGCTTCGGATTCCTATATATACGACAACGAGTTCTAGAATATATTAAGAAATGTCTACAATGTCAGCGTAACAAGGCTAATAGACACGCTAGATATAGATATATCCAATTTAGGAGGCTACTAGATAAACTATAGGACGAAGTTACAATAGACTTTATTACGAAACTACCGAAGTCTAAGGATCCGGTTATAGGATATAGCTACGATATAATACTTATTATAGTCGATAGGCTTACGAAATACGCACACTTCATTCCTGCTAATAAAGCAAGTACGGCAGAGCAACTCGGATACCTCGTACTAGATAGACTTATACGATACTACGGATTTCTAAAGACCTATATTACGGACAGAGACAAGCTCTTTACGTTAAACTACTAGAAGACGCTTATAGCGACACTTAGAATTAAGCACAAGCTATTAACGGTATACTATCTATAGACAGACGGCTAAACGGAAATCAAGAATTAGGCCTTAGAGGTATACTTACGGCACTACGTTAATTACGTATAAAACAATTAGGCATCGCTATTGCCTATAGCACAACTTGCACTAAATAACTAACAATCTAAGACTACGAAAGAGACACTATTCTTCGCTAATTTTAGGAAACATCCGCAGCTGTTCGGGGAACAGTATTTATAGCATCTATACGCGGATAAAGCGATAGTCGCTTTAGAAGACTTAAAGCAGGTGCATAAAGAATTGCAAAGGGCAATTGCCGAGTCTTAAGAAAAGATTACGGGACTATATAATGCTAAACGAAAAATAGCACCTTAGCTAAAAAAGGGGGATAAGGTCTACCTCCTAACAAAGAATCTAAAAACCCGGAGATCGACTAAGAAACTAGACTACGTTAAAGTCGGGCTATTTCTAATTAATAAGCCTAAAGGACTAGTTAATTACCGACTTAAACTACCGGACGACGCGAAAATCCACCTAGTATTCTATATCTCTATACTAGAACCTACAGACGCCGAAACACCGTATTAAGAAACATTTCACTTCTAACCTAAGGAAGAAAATAAGTTTAAAGTCGAAAAGATCCTAGATTAGCAAGGTTAGAAATACCTTGTTAAATAGAAAGGATACCTACATTTAGAAAACACTTAGGAACTAAAAGAAAACCTACAGAACTGTTAGTAGATAATTAAAAAATATTAAAACTGGACAAAAAGGAAATAACTAGTATAGGAATTGAACCTACGACCTCTTAGACCCTATCGATTATAGCGCCTTAGAGTTCTTAACGACCTAGGGTAGTATAGCTCGAGGAGCGGGGACTCTAATAGCATACCTAGCAACTATGTCTTTTATAGCTAAGAATTATACTACTAGACTAACTAGCTAGAAGATAAAATAGATAGGAAATATTAAAAATATATACCTTTAGGATACTAGACTCTCGGCACTCCTACTAGGAATTTTAGAGGTAGGCTAGGACGTCCTATCTAGACGACTCTAGTTATAAGGCGATATCTATAATCGGCTATCTAGGGGAAACGGCTCGTTAGTAGGTAACGAGAATATTATCGGCTCTATAGGCGAAGAGCCTAGCTCTCTTTCGAGCTCCTCCGCCTATTAAATAGAGGCTTCCTCTGCCTTAAGAGCTTATATCTCCCGATCCTCCTTTATACGCAACGACTTACGTAAGCGACGGACCTTTACGCGGTACTCGAAAAGCTTCCGCGTAAAGAGGTCCTCCTTCTCTTCGGCCGCTTCGAGATCTTTAGCTATCTTTAGGCGCGCCTTCCGGATTTTTTTATACTCTATACGAGTAACTTGTATATTATAGGACTAGCTATATAGGGCGTACTCGGAGCAGCGACCGGAACGGAGATCGACTTTATAGGATTTATCGGCCTATTTGCAATAAAAGCAGCGGATCGGTATTTCGAGGTAGTCGGCAAGGATGTTATTTGCGATATTTTCCTTACGCTAACGAGAAGACAAGTCCTTTAATAACTTTAGTATAGTAAAGAAGTTAGAATTAGAAAGTTCCGGAATAAGGGACTATCCCGCTTAAGGAGGGGGATAGTATTACGGATCTAATTAGTTAGAGTCCTTACATAATCTTAGAGCGACGCTAAGACTAGTAGGCTAAGCTATCGCTCTATCTTACTAGGAGCGATAGAAGCGGTCGAGAGCGATAGCGTCGCTTACGTCGCTTACGACTATAGATAAGATATCTCCTTTGTATTTAGGAACGCCGGAATGCCCTTATAGCTCGAGGCGTTTAACTTATATTACTTACTTACTAATTAGAATTACCTTTATACTAATTATTCTGTCTCTACCTCCCGCTTATATTAGCCTCTCTAAAGAAGCCTCGGCTTATACGTAATAAGAAGTCACTTAACGATCTGTCGCGAGTAACCGTAACAATAGTCTAGCTACTAGAAGGGTTAAGAGAGTCGACAGTAATAGCGTAGAAGTAGAACTAACAACCTATCTTCTTAGTTATTGTCTTCCGCTAAGTCGTATTCTAGGTACGTTTATCGGGCTAACTAAAGCAACTATATATATATAAATAGCGGTATTTAATGCCTTTACTATTCTTCCGTAGCTTCTACTCCTTAAACTCGTACCCCTTCGTCTTTCTAAACTCTTCTTATATATACCTTTCTAGCGCTTAATAAGACGGAAAGTTATCCTCTCGTAGTATTAGACTACGGCGGCGCGCCTTCTTCGAGAATAGGTGCTTCTAAGGGCGTAGCGACACTAATCTATTATTAGGTAACGATATACGCTCGCGAGGAAAGCTTAGTAAGCGACTGCGACCTCGAATACGTATCTCTAAGACTAATTAGACCTCCTTCTACGACTTAATATCTACCGCCGCCGCCGCCGCCGCCGCTGCTGTCGATTGCGCGCCTTCTACTACTATATCTATCGATTGCGCGTCTTCCGCCGCCGCCGCCGCCGTCGATTGCGCGCCTTCTACTACTATATCTATCGATTGCGCGTCTTCCGCCGCCGCCGCTACTATATCGTTACCGCTACCGGCGATAAGATTATCGAGAAACTCGTCGTATAATAGAGATTTAGCCATTTCGATAGTTACTAGGCAATCTACTATAAAAGGGGGAAGAAATACGAATTTTAGGTCTACGGTAGATTCGAGTAGAATTCCTTCCTAGGTAACGCGCTACGCGCCTATTAGCAACACCAACTAAGAACGTAAATACGCTGTATTAGGCGGAAACACTACGTAATTCATGAGATATTGATACAGACGCGATTCCATATTGGTGCTAGTACTAGGGCTCGGGCGGGCAGCTGGGGCTCGGTATAAGTGCCAGGCTCCCGCCTCCAACAAACCTGCCCTCGCTGCTCAAAGTGGCGCACATCGAGTGCCATCTGCGCCAAGACGATGTTACATTGCAGAAGAGTCGCGAGTGAAAAGAGTAAGACCTGCAGCAGATCTGATCCACCTCAAGTACCCCAGGATGGCCTACCTTACCGAACCTTCTTTTAGAACATTGGCTTTGGCAAAGCGGTCTAAGCTGACGAAGAATCAAGAACCACGCGACGAATTTGACGTGCATCCTTCGTGACGATCTCTTGCTATAAGATGGCCAGAGTGTCCCGCAAGGGATGGCGGAGGCGCTCCACGCTTGCCTCGAACGCTGGAGGCTCGTCACGATGTTTTCTAAAATGATGCAGCGCGTGCTGGGAGTGGCGGGTCTGGTGGCAACGACAAACTGCTCAGTCCTGACGTCTCGCGATGTCACTTTTGCCAATGCCGAAGCTGCGTATACGCAATTGCAAACGTGGTACAATCAGTCCACAGGTCTTTGGATTCCGAGCACCGGATGGTGGAACAGCGCGAATTGCTTGACTGTCATTACGGATCTGGCCGCTATCGACAGCAATGTTAAGAGCTCGGTCGCTGGAGTTCTGTCTAACACCCACGTCAAAGCACAGCAGTACAACCTGAACATGACCAAGGTCCAAGGAACAGAGTCGCAACCTTTCTTGCCGCAGTGCTATTATGGCAATCAATGGCCGTACTTTCCCCCATCTTGGTCACAAAAGCATGGACGGCCTCCGGCGCGAAAAACGAGCGGGTTCTTGAATGACTACTATGATGATGAGGGCTGGTGGGCATTGGCGTGGATTGCAGCGTACGATCTCACCAAAAGTCAGCAGTATTTGTCTCAAGCTGAGGCTATCTTCGATGACATGAATGCTGTATTTGGAAAGACGAATTGCAGTACCAACTCCGGGGGCAGGGGAGGGATCTGGTGGGATCGGCCACAGACATATGTCAACGCGATCGCCAACGAGCTCTTCCTCAGCGTGGCGGCATCTTTGGCGAACCGAGCTCCAAGCAGCAAAACCGACTATCTTGCTATTTCGAAGCAGCAGTGGGCTTGGTTCAAGGGTACGGGCATGATCAATGCTCAGAACACGATCAACGACGGTCTGAACCAGCAGACTTGCCAGAACAATGGAGGGACCGTATGGTCTTACAACCAAGGCGTGGTCCTTGGCGGTCTGGTGGAGCTCAGCAAGGCCACGAAGGACACATCCTATATCGCGACTGCACAGAAAATCGCAGACGCTGCCATCGCGGCTCTGGCTCCAAATGGCATTCTCCAAGACCCATGCGAACCCGACTGTGGCGCTGACGGGACGCAGTTCAAAGGCGTCTTTGTTCGCAATTTGCAGAAATTGCACACCGCTAGTCCGAAGGCGCGCTATGCCAACTTCTTGGATACCAATGCGAATAGCATCTGGGCGAATGATCGGCGAGGGAGCACGCTTAGTGTCCGCTGGTCGTCTTTTGTCCCGCCTGGCAATGCTTCTACGCAGAGCAGTGCTATGGATTGTCTGGTTGCGTCACTGGCGACGTAGAGGAAGTGGGGTTTGGGTGTGGAAGAGACATGGTATACGACAGCATGTATATGTATCAGCCAAATCAATGCAGCCTCGTTATCGAGATCGTACTGTACAACATGGTGGCTGAGGTCATGCGATGATGACGGCGAAGAAGAAGTCGGGTGTGATTGCAGGCGCGACGCTTGCCTTTCACAGAGACCTCAGCGGCTGATGTTGTGTATTGCGGTCGGTCGGGGACAATACTAGTACGCATCCGATTTGATGCATCGCTCTCGCACTCGCACCTTAGGCATCCACCCTCTTACAGCAGCAAAAACATCGCATTGATGATGACCTCGGTATTGTTTGGGTAGATGTGTACTCCAGATAGAGTTTCGCCCCTTGAAAGTCGAAGGCGGAGATTCCACGTGCAAAAGTGGTGGGCACGACGATCATTGGCTGCTTCGCACTTGCCTCGGCGAAGCATCTTCAACTTCTTTTGTGCTCTCCTCGCCTCGCACTCTATGATGATGGAAGGGAGGCGACGGGTGCGCGTCCGCGGCGATGGATGTGGATGGTATATATCCGTCGCTCACCTTGTCCCTTTTCTGCCTGCACCATACTCCATCTGTGCACTTCCACCAACATGGCGTGGCAACCGCTTCCAGGCGACAACAGCTATGATGTGATTGTCGTCGGCGCTGGCATCTCAGGCATCAACTTTGGATATCGCCTCCAAGAGAGATGTCCAAACCTCAAGTATGCCATTCTGGAGGGCCGCGCGGAGATGGGCGGGACCTGGAGCTTGTTCAAATATCCAGGTGAGTAACACCCCACATGTCCCGCGCGCCTGAAGATGGAGTGCTGACCGTGCTTCGTTCATGCAGGCATTCGCTCTGACTCCGATCTGTACACTTTTGGCTTCCCTTGGAGGCCGTGGACCGACAAGAACGCCATCGCGCAAGGCGATCTCATTCTCAACTATGTCAAGGAATCTGCCGCCGTGTTTGGCATTGACAAGAAGATCCAGTACAATACCATGGTCACCGCGGCCAACTACAGCTCATCACAGAACACGTGGACGCTCGAGGCGACGGTCAATGGCGAGAAGCAGAAGACTTTCAAGGCTCGCTACATGCTCCTCTGCACCGGCTACTACGACTACTCCACCCCTCTCCAAGCAGACATCCCAGGCATCGACAAGTTCAAGGGCCAAGTCGTCCACCCACAGTTCTGGCCAGAAGACCTCGACTACACCGACAAGGAAGTAGTCATCATCGGCTCCGGCGCCACCGCCATCACAGTCGCCCCAGTCATGGCACAAACCGCCAAACACGTCACCCAACTCCAGCGATCCCCCTCATACGTCCTCGCCGTCCCCTCAGAAGACGGCCTGGAAAAGCTCCTGCGAGCATGGTTCTTCTGGTCCAAATCCATCCAAAGCGCCCTGATCCGCCTCAAATGGATCATAATGCCCTTGATCATGACAAGATACTCCGCCTGGTACCCCGAAAAAATGCGAAAACTTCTCCACAAACTCACAGAAAAACAACTCCCCTCCTCCGTCCCGCGCGACCCCCACTTCACCCCAAAATACCGCCCCTGGGAACAACGCATGTGCATGTGTCCCGACGGCGACTACTACAAATCCATCCGCGCCGGAAAATCCTCCATCGTAACCGCCACCATCAAAGACATGACCTCCAACACCATCCTCCTCAACAACGGCCAAGAACTCTACGCCGACATCATAGTCACAGCCACAGGCCTCAAACTCGCCTTCGCAGGGAAAATGTCCATCTCCGTCGACGGCACACCCTACACCGTGCCCGACAAATACGTCTGGAAAGGCGTCATGCTCGAAGATCTCCCGAATTTGGCTTTCGTCGTGGGATACGTTGATGCGAGTTGGACCCTTGGGGCGGATGCTACGGCTCAAACGATCACGCGACAGATCAATCAAATGAAGAAGGAAGGGGTGGTGGAGGTTACGCCGCATCGGACGCAGTGGGATCGTGAGCATGTGAAGGAAACGAGTCTTTTGCGACTCAATAGCACTTATGTTACCAAAGGTGCCAGTGTGCTTCCCAAAACTGGGGATCGGGGGCAGTGGCTTCCGAGAAGTAATTATATTCGAGATATTTTTGTGGCGTGGTATGGGGATATTAAGACTGGGACGACGTGGGTGAGGGGGGTGTGAGGGAGGAGAAGAGGGGGGGGGGGGGGGGGGGGGCCGTATAGAAAGAGGGATGCTTTGGGATGCTTTAGCTTTCTTTATTACTATATATCTTACATTGTAGGATTTTTTTTCGATGTTATATATAGTAGAAGAAGAAGAAGAAGAAGGAAGAGTTATAGATTAGTATATTAGCGAACCTATTAGTTAAGAAAGAAATAGCACTTCTATAATAAGTTTTTTTGCTTATATATTCGTCTACCTTACTTAAATTTATAGCTAAGCTTAGGACCTATCGTATAGTCCTTTATTATTTATTAACTACCTATAGTTTATTTTACTTATCTCTACTTCTCTTCTCTTCTCCTCTTCGCTATCCTAATAAATATAATAGCTAGAATCTTCTACTATACGCGCGTATAGTTCTACGATTATCCTAGTAATAAGTTAGTCGTACTATATACGCCTTTCTTAAACTAACCTTAGCTCTAAGGCCGAGTATACTACTCTTCTTATATTTCTAAGAATTTAATACTAACCTCTATCTCTTATTAGTTTATTATAGCGTAAAGCTAGCTAAGATATTCTTTATATAAGCTTTTAGGCTAATTAGCGTAGATATCGGCGGTAGCTTCTATACGCGGCGTAAAGACTCGGAGCTATATAGGTTTGTTATTTAGCTATCTGTCCTATCGTCTCTTATATATTTTAAATTTTCTACTATTATAGTCTTTGCGAAAGTCTACGTAGCTAGTATAGTTAGGGGTAAGGAAGAGGTCTTAGAAAGAGTAGAATTCGACGTTTATAATACTAGTTCGTTTTAGAAGATTCTAACTTAGCTATTATCGTAGTAGTACTTAAAGAGGTCGTAGAAATAGAGCTAGTAGATATAGTAGTACTTAACGAAGACGCTATACTCGGACTAGTAGTACTTTTACTCCTATATATTTCCTTAGTCGTATTATACCGATACTACGTAGCTACTATATAGAAAATCGTCTCTACTAGCTACGAATATCTTAATTTCGCTTTCTCTATAATAGCTTCGTAATACTCGTATTGCCTAATCGAGTCGCTAGTTGTATCTAAGCCCTTATAGATATCGAAAGTACTATTAGCGCTAGATATAGTATAGTTTCGCTCGAAATATAGTCTACCCGCGCCGCAGATATCGCTAGTACTAGTAAAGCTCGGAGCGCTTAGTCCGGCTATATGCGTCTTTACGTAGGATATGTCTTATACTTAATAGAGTTTTTCGTATATAAAGGTTTCGTTATAGTCTACTCTATCGGTAATAATCTAGACAAGATCTACGGTATATTTAAGTAAAGGCCCCGAAGAAATCGGCTATAGCAATACGAGGAGCTTGCGACGAGTTATTACGGAAGTCGATTTCGAGGGGACTAAGCGTAGTTACAATTAGACGGACTTAGTATAACGTAGCAGGTATGTGTATGTCTCGGAAGGTGCAGTGTTCTATAGTATAATAGGGGCTTTAGTATTTAGAGCGGACCTAATACAAAATCTAGCGTAGCCTCTTATTAGTCGAAACAAGGCGAAAACATATAACCTCTACCTTAGGTTGCACTTCCGCCCTCCGAAGCATACTATAACAATAATAACAAGGACGCACTAAATAAACGACCGTATCCCCGATTATAAACAGACTATACTACCTATTCGATGCCTACGCCTATACGACGCGTAGACGTACGACTCCGTTTTCGCGAAACTACCTCGTAGCTAAGATTAGGACGAATTTCGAAGGCGTAACTTACGGGCCTATATAAGATGCGTCGATGCTAATAACAAGCGAGAATGTTACGTAGAGGGTACTAATAGCTTGCGATAACAAGCCTGTTTAGTACGCGTTGCGTAGAGGGTACTAATAGCTTACGTAAACTAAGTATAATTGTAACTGCGCTTAGTCCGGGGCCTTTACTTACATGCTTAAGGTCGCTTCGCTAACCTTTTAGCTCACTATTTTAGGAATAGGGATTAATAGCAATAGGATTCATAGGCATAGGAATTTAATTAATGTAAATAGGATTTATAGGCGTAGGAATAGGATTTATAGGAATAGGATTCATAGGCATAGGAATAGGATTCATAGGAATAGGATTTATAGGTATAGGAATAGGATTCATAGGAATAGGATTTATAGGCATAGGAATAGGATTCATAGGAATAGGATTTATAGGCATAGGAATAGGATTTATAGGAATAGGGTGCTATAGGAATAGGTATAGGAAAGCCTATAAATAGGATATATAGGAATAGGGATTGATAGCAATAGGATTTATAGGCATAGGAATAGGATTTATAGGAATAGGGTGCCGTAGGAATAGGCACAGGAATGCCTATAAGAAGGATTTATATAAATAGGGATTATATAAATAGTATTTATATTAATAGGATTCATTATTCTAATTAGGACTTATAGGACTTATACGATTAGGACTCACGATTGTAGTTAGGACTTATAATTGTAGCTAGGATTTATAGGATTCGTAGGAGTTATAAGAATAAGGTTCATTATTGTAATTTTGATTTATAGGATTTATAGGACTTATAAGAATAAGATTTATTGTTGTAATTAGGATCTATAGGATTTATAGGACTTATAGGGATAAGATTAATTATTGTGATTGTAATTTATAGGATTTCTAGAATTTATAGGCACTTTCGCGGTATACTAGAATCAATAGGAGAAGACAGTTCTAGGCAAGTACGCCGTTATCCTCGGAAGCAGCCTACTACGTCGGCTCTACGAGAACGCGACGCTAATAAATTTAGGCTATATTATACTGCTATATCGGAGTTCGCTGTCTTTATTACCGGAAGAGATACTCTTTAGTAGCTAAGTCTAAATATAAAGCTAAAAGGCACTTAATCTTTCCGTAAGGTTCTAAATTATAGGACTAAACTTACCGATCCTATATACTCGAGTCTTAGAGGTACCTATTATATTAATGTTAATATCTATAACGTAAGCAATCTAAGCTTTATTATAACCCCGAGCGTTAAAATTCTCCGTTATATTCTTAATCTAGTTAATAGGACAATTAACTTATAAGTAGAATCTATCTTAACCTATAAAAGTTCTATCCGTATCGATAATACGAAGTTTCTATAAGCTACGTAATTAATTAGAGCTAGGTTGTTAGCAACGCGGTTCGACTAATAGTCTAGCCCTACAAAGTAGGGCTAGATTGTTAGCTACAAGATTCGACTAATAGTCTTGCCCTATAGGTCGGGGCTAGATTGTTAGCTACGCGATTCGAATTTCGATTCTGCTCTAAGAAGTACTTTAGATAGCATAGGAGTATAGCTATAAGTATATATATTAGTCCTTTAATAATCTAGACTAATATGTTAATCGTTAGATAAGCGTATACTAGCCGGCGAAAAAGAGGCTCCCGATAACGAGCTAGTAGATAATAACGTAGGATAGTAAGGCTAGGGAGGATAACAAATTTACTAGTAGCGGCAAGGATAATAGTAGCTAACTAAGGTTATCGCTATGCATTTCCTAAATGCAAAGTTACGCTATTATTTAGGGCACGAAGTCCTCCTTCTAAGTCGCAAGCTTCTAAACCTCCCTCCTATTAAGAAGTTAGTACGTATCTCTACGCTATAACGCGGTAAAGTCCTAGCAATCTAGAATTAAACGCGCCTAAAGTAGTAGTGCCTAGTAGTAGAGACTAGTATTAGGACTATTCCTAATACTCTTGTAATACTAGAACAAATGTCTATTGCGAGCGATAGGTAGGCTATCTTATCCGCAATATTCTTATATAGACCGCCCGTTAAATTCTTTCCGGAGTATTACTTTAGGTCGAGAATATCGGAGGAAATAATTTCGCCGGTTATAAAGATTAGCGCAACTAGCTTAGTATTCGTTCTACTAATAGTAGTACAGGTCGAGGACAGAAATTCTATTAATGCGACGAAGGCTAATAGCGGCTCCGTAGTGTCCTTTAGCGGTTATAGAGATTTATCTAGTATCGGGAGTACCTCGATATTAGCTATATAGATTAGTATACGTAATAGAACTGTTACCCGTCTAGCTTATATAGACTACAACTAGTCTATAGTCTTACTAGGAGCATAAAAGTGTTAATAGAGCGTTATATAGAGATATTCCTCCCGTTTACTTTCTAACCGAGGCAGATCGGCTAACTAAGCAACTCTAGATTTCGAATAGCGAAATTTGCCAATTGCTCTAAGGACTATACTTGCTACATTGTTCTATAATATAGTAAGGATAATATACTGCTCTAACAGTAAGATGTTCTTATTCTTACTACTAGCTATAATATATAGACGATGCTTCTTTATAGCACTTCTATAGTCGTTTATCGTACTCGCAAGATTACTTAAGCTATTGCGTAGGGATATATACTATTAGAAGGTCTAGAAGACTTGACTAGAACTATTGCGTACTACTATAGGTAGGCTAACTAAGTTGCCTCTATAAAGTTAGGTAGAGGTCTACTAGTACGCTCGCGTTGTTCTACCTATTCTATTTCGGTTTTCGCTTAGTAGATTTACCTCTACGCTGCTTCTTCCGCGGGTATAGGCAGTATAAATAGCAAGCACTATCTCTTCGCTCTTTAAAGGTAACATTTCCGATCGTGTCCTAGTCCTATCTAGCTTCGACAACTACTATTAATGCGTTATCTTATAAAAAGCGACGCCGCTCCTAACCCTAAGTTAGAAGTAGCTTATATAACTTTGTCGTACGACACGGTAAACCCATCCTGCAGTGGGAAATAAGCATAGGAGCGTCGGCAGAGTCTCGTCTAGCTAGATATAGTAGTCGAAGGTCGGGAAGGTTTGAACCTGAGGCATCCACGGAGCGGCTGAGTAGACGCCGACTGATGAGCTGAAGGCTCGAGATCGACACATCCACTACGCTTTCTGCCCGCTAACGTGTATTTTCGTCACAAACTTATCGAGGCGGGGAATCATAGCGGAGATTTTTGGCTCCGTTGCCTCCATTCTCCAGGTGGCCTAGTCTCAGGTGGCGCTCAGACTGCCTTGGCACGCTATTCCCCTTCGGGGGCGATGCCGTAGGCAGTCTGAGGAAGCATCTCGGGGTTTTGGAGGATGTAAAGTAACTTCACTTCGCGACGACATTCTATTAAGACGGCTAGGCCTAAAATTCCGAAAAAATTAGGAAAGATATTTAAAGATATAACGTCTCGCGCTATAGTCTCGGATTTTTTGTATCTTAGATACCGACAAAGAAACAAATCGGCGAAATATCTCGAGATTTTTGTTAGAAAAATCGTTTTTTTAGATCTTCTAGACCACAAGCAGCTCGAACGGCTTAGTAATAAAATCTAGAAAAATTATAGAATATACTATAAGATACGGCGAAAAATGTGATGTTCTCGGATTTTTAATATCTAGTAAGATAGTCGAGATATTTAAAAGAAAAGACCTCGTATAAGCCTCGTATAGAAAATCCGGCTTTTTAACGAAAAAATTCCGGATTTTCGGAGAAAGCACAAGACATCGGAACGCGTTTAGATATTTTAAATCTAAAAGTTGGCGGTCCGAGAGATAGATAAAGCGAAAAAACTGATGTTTTTAGAATTTAAATAAAGGGACGCGTCGTCGAGTACTCGCCGTCGAGGGGAAAATTTTTGAGAATATAGCTGGATTCTACGACACGCAAAAACAGGCGTAAAGCTAAGATGTATCCACCAAACATGCCCGTTGTTTCCTCAGACCTCCTCCAGAAGGGAGCCACGCGGAGCGCTTGATTGGCTCGCTTCGAGAGGTGGTCTGAGCGTCCCCTGAGACTACAGGTGGCCGAGGTGGGCTTCTCTCTGGCAACAACCTTGTACAAATACGCAGCTTCGGTCAAGGGCGCTGAGAAAGAGATCAAGAAGGTTGCAAGAGATGTAAGGCTTACGTCGAAAGTCTTGGAACGTACACACGAACAGCTTCAAGCCGACCACGATGCTCAGCTTTGCACAGACGAGGCTCTACATGATCTCGAAGATGTCTTAGACGGCTGCAAAGAAGCATTTCAGGAACTCGATGAAGCTTTAAGCAAAAGCTTGAAGCCTCGATCTGGCGACAAGCTGAGTGTCAGCACATTCGACAAGTTCAAATGGCCGTTGCGGAGCAACAAACTCGAAGTGCTGGGAGCCAATCTCGAGAAGCTGAAAACGACGCTCTTGCTGATGCTGAGTGTGTTGGCATACGGGAGCAAAGTCTCACAGCGGCATAAACAGCCCGACTTTGGCAGTATCAAGGTCGAGCTGGCATTGGAGAAGCTACAAATTCAAAACCTGGTTCAGGCAAAGGACGAGGCAACGCAGAGATTTGAGCAGCTCAGCGCTGCTTTTCAAAATCTTGAAGCCGGACTCAACGCTAGTGAACCAACTTCTGCGTCACCGGTACCTGGAAATAGCATGATCTCTATGCTTTCATCAATAGACCCTCAGACGGCCGTGCTAGCTCCTGCTACCACTTCTGAAATCGAAAGCACCGATATTGATACTACTTCCAATTGTCTCAAATTATGCGCGAATGCCGTGAGGAAGCTCGCCTCCTCCATCGATGCAGCTACGCAGCGGTGGGAAGCAAGTCGAGCTTTGGAGTATGTAGCAATCCAATCGGCACTGAACAAAACAACGAAAGCCGTGACTTTACTCCAAGCGTCCAGAAATCATGATTTAAGCGACTACGAGCGCCAATTAATGTTGCTGGATGAACAAAATAAGAAGAGAATTTTGATGGCCAGACAAGAACAAGGAGAGGCGACAAGAGCGGAGCGAAGTGCCCATCCGCAATCGAACCAGGCGCTGCCACCGACCGTGCGATCGCAAGTCCCGGGATCAGACATCTCGAGACCGCAATCGCAGCAAGCGACATCTAGATTCCCAATACAGCCACTAAGAGCAAGACAGCCGCGGACCTTTACCCAAAGCCTCCCTCAACGAGTCTCGCATCATCGCAGGGAATTTGCAGGACACTCCCAGGACTTCGACACTTTCGACTTCGCGGATTTGGACCTGCATGACGACTTGGACAGCTCCGGTCTCGTCAGCCTTTTACCAGCGCAGGAGAATGCAGCCGGAAATTTCGACTTTTCTGGTGTTGAGCTTGAATATGTCCCTAACACGACTGGCAACGCCAATACATCCTCAACCCCAGATTCCGAAACGCCGGAGGAAAGCATTTTGGATGAAAAGGATTGTGATCGAGAATATGGAGGCGCTGATGACTGGGAAGATGATGAAGTGGATGTGATTGACGGCCTTCTGAGGCGATGGACGAAAGTCGCAGCTTGATCAGAAGAGGCCATTTTGGTGTAAGAGCAAGCCCTTTGGCAGATGCATAGAGCTAGCGTCACGCTGTATTCATACTCGTAGATTCCGTTCATTCGATGTGTACGACTTTCACAAGATAGTCAACGACGATTGAAGAACAGGAGATCAGAGATTGAGAGTCTTTGTAACGCACAACGCAGTCATGTAGTTCTGGACGGCCTCGCATTGAATCCGAGCTTACTTATATATGTTATTACGCGCTACCTCTATTCAGGCGCCCCGCTTTGTAGGCTTGCATAGACCTTCTACCTAAATTTAGTACCTTCTACCTTCTACCTTCTACCTTCTACCTTCTACTCTGTCTCTACGTCCTTATATTATCTCTCCGCTAAGTATACTAATATATATCTAGCTTAGCGGTCTATACTAAGCCTATAGCGAAGCGCCTAAAAGAAAACCGTATAGCTCCTATATAACCGTCCGGTATACAAACGAGAATTCGAATTTATAGAAGCATAACTATATATTAGATAGACAAACCTAAAAAAGCTGTTCTACGTAATAATACGATCTTTTAAAATAGCTATACAAAGTATACGTTAAAATGTCAAATTAAAGCTATAGATACAATCTTCTAAGACAGGTCTTCCGGTAACTGCGTTTGTTCTACCCTCCTTTATATTACTTATATACAAACGGTATATGAAACGCTAAGTAAATTACGAGCGGACCCTTAGATTAACCGCCGCTCGCACCTCCGACTCTTAGAATACCTATATTCTTAACCCTTTGCCTTTATCTTGCTACCGAGGGCTATACTATATTACTAGTATATATATACCTTTACTCGTAGTAATTCCTTTATCTAGTACGTTCTTAGACTCGAATAGGCCTAATAAAGGGTCTAGAGAGCCCTTTAGATACCTGTTTGCCTTATCGTACCTTGCTATCGTACCTCGCCGTCGCCTACTAATAGTATACTATAACTAACCTACCGCGACTAACCTACTAATAAACAGACAATAGCGCTACCTCCGAGGGGCACTCGCAAGTAGCGTAATAGGGAGAAGAAGGATAGGGCTAAGAAGCGCAAGACTAATAGATAGCAGAATAAATCCGAGCAGCACTTTCTAATAGTACTTCTAGGTCGCGCCGCCGTAACTCGAGAGCGCCCGGATTTTAGTTACTTGCTACCGGTCTAGTAGCCTAAGAATAAGCGAGATTATAAAGTATAGTTCTAGACTCGTTGCGATCGTATTAACGCCGCCGATAACCTATTATCGTAGGACTAAGTTAAGCAACTCGTATATAATGCCGTAGCTTCTCTAGAGGCTAAGAATATCTACCGTAATATCGTTACCGCTAGCCTTATTAAGCTATTAGATCGCCTTTACCTAGGAAAAGGATATTAGCCGAAGGACGTCTAGATCGATCTAGTCTTCGCGCTAATTTTCGGCGGTAGCGATGTTCTATAGATCTCGAAGACAGGCGAGGGCAAGAGCTTAGTATTTATAGCCTTTACGTATTTGACTAGCCTTATTACCCTCTAGTTTATACCGCTAAATCGCCTTAGCGAGGAGCAGGCTAAGGTCGTCGAGAACCGGTATTAATAGCTACAGTTAGATAGCTAGTTAGATAGCTAGTTAGATAGCTAGTTAGATAGCTAGCCGATCGAGCGAGATAGTATCGTTAACGCTATTAATATTACCTCCGAAACTATAAGCCTCTATCCTAAGCTATACGACTATATTACTAATAGTAGATATTATTATATTATCCTAAGTCTAGAAACCGGTACTAGTCTAGCCTTTAGGAAGCTACTATAGGACCCTAAGGTTCGTGCCCGTATCGGTCTCGTAGTAATCGATAAAGTCTATCTTGTTAATAAGTAGCGTAACTTTCGGAAGGAATATATACAGATCTTCGCTCTACGCAAGTTGCTCCGTAATAACACAGTTTAGCTCGGCTGTTCTGCGACAATGTCCGAGGATATAGAGGACTTTGTGCTTAAATATAGTAGATTTCGTCTAGTTAGTAATTAGCTATTCTAGACTAAGATTATTCGCAGTAGTGTCGATCGTCTAGATACTACGTATATCCTACGTACTATTCTAAGGAATTAGCTCCGCTTATACGAGTACCTGTATTTCGCTATCGATAGTGCATTCGACCTAGAGACTAAGGAAGCTACGCCGATAATTTATAAACATTAAGAAGGCCCTCTTATTTATTAATAGTCGTAAGTATGTCTAGGATCTAGCTAATATTATTCGGCATTAGCTAGTCGCAACGACTGCTAAGTATAGGGACTAGAAGAAACGATATACATAGGACAATAAAGGTGTTAATATATATACTATAGTAACATTCTATACTAGCAGTATCGCTAAGCGAGACTAGAAGCGCCGGTATAACCGCTTCTATAAGACTATAGAGCATCTAGATAGGCTATCGGAATACCGGATTATAGTTGCTACTACTACTTTTAGTGTTAGCCTAAATGTACTAGATATTAAGCTTGTTTACTAGACTAGGTTTACTCTTACGCGCGATATCGAGGATGTTGTCTAACGTCTTAGCCGTACCGGTCGTACTATTCTGCGCAGTTTAGCCTTTATCTTCCTACTATACTATATCGATAATCGTCTTAAGTAGCCGCGGCTAGAATCTAACTACCTAGCAATTAAGCCTCGCCGACGTAGATCGTATAGAGCATTCCGGCTATTAGGGCTCCGCTAGTCTAAGCTTCTAGGAGAAGATGCTAATGCGCTAGGTGCTTAAGAAGCCGCTAATAATAATAATAATAATAGCGATAGAAACTACTAGACTAAGAAAGAGATAGAGCTTTACGACAAGATTCCTCGGATTTAGCGGGAGTTCTAGAATAACTATCTACGCGAACAATACGGTATATGTCTACGCAAAGTCGTCCTTCGCTATCTCGGTAAGGATAAGGTAGTATATACCTAGCAACTACTAGTAGTAGAAGATTGCTATAATATCTGTAACCTAGAACTAGACGCTCTTTATATCGATATACCTCTAGAGGGTATTACTCCCCCGAAATTTAAGGCTCCGAGAGCCGGTACTCGTCTAGCAATTAGATTTAGTATACTAAAGGATTGGATATTAAAGCGGCCTGCCCTTTAGTATCTAGATTAGTTAAGCCGTATTCGATTCGACCTTCTATCGACTAAGGTTACAGACGATCCGATTCTAGCTAATATCGCTAATATCTTTACTACCGCTAACTTAGTTAATAAATAGAACGAGAGTATTACTATCGATTAGGATCTCCTTAAGTAGAAGGCGCTAGTATTTGTAGACTAGTTCGAGAAGCTTTAGTAGTACGAGCAACTATTCGCTACCTTTTAGCTAATCGATACTCTAAAAAGCCTTAGTCTAGAGGTATTAACTAAGTAGCGTACTATTTATAATACGAGGAAGAGGGCCGAGGAAGATAGATAGAAGAAGGCCGAGGAAGAGGCTGCTCGAGAAGCGGCTCGTAGCGCCCTAAATATACGTCTATCGGATACTATACTACTACCTACAATACCCTTTACTCTATAGTAGCGCGCTACTACTCTAAATAAGTTAAGAAGCGGTATTGTAGGCTCTACTAGCGTATAGGCTAACCTCCTTTATAGCCGTAACACTTAGGTATTAGGAACTCGAGGCTAGGAGCGCCTAGGCTTATCTAGTAGTCTTAGTCTACGTACTCGGCGATAGCTACCTCTATAGATTAATCCGACTACTAAATAGGTATATACTCGAGCTAAGCGGATTCTTAGTACCGTCTCTCGTACTAACGAGGAGCGAGGTCGCGTATTGCGTACTAAGCGTAGACTCTCGGAAGCGGGTCGACGTATAATAGGCTCTTAAGGTAGCTCTCCTAGTAGGCGTTAATACTGCAATTAGCGGTAAAATAGCCCTAGAAATTGCGGTAGAATAGCCCTAGAAATTGCGGTAGAATAGCGCTAGAAATAGCGCTAGAAATAGCGCTAGAAATAGCGCTAGAAATAGCGCTAGAAATAGCGCTAGAAATAGCACTAGAATTGGTACTAGAATTAGCACTAGAATTAGTACTAGAATTAGCGCTAGAATTGGCATTTAATAAGGTCCTTCCTTACTACCCTTCTATTATATCCTTATAAGCTCGCTAAGTCCTTGTCCTATCCTCGGAAAAGTAAGCCGTAACACTACGCTCGATCGCGTTGCTTCTATAAGAGCTAGCGTATAATATAGGATGCCTAGTTGAGTTGCTTCTACGAGAGCCGGTGTGTGATATAGGATGCCTAGTTTAGCTACTTCTACGAGAGCTAGCCTAGTTTAGCTGCTTCTACGAGAGCTAGCCTAGTTTAGCTGCTTCTACGAGAGCTGGCCTAGTTTAGCTGCTTCTGCGAGAGCCGGTATATAATATAGGATGCCTAGTTAAGCTGCTTCTGCGAGAGCTAGCGCTAGAATTAGCGCTAGAATTAGCATTTAATAAGGTCCTTCCTTACTACCCTTCTATTATATCCTTGTAAGCTCGCTAAGTAGGCTCTTCTATTATATCCTCGTAAGCTCGCTAAGTAGGCTTTTCTATCGTGTCCTTATAAGCTCGCTAAGTAGGCTTTTCTATCGTATTCTTTACGACGAGGGTTTATAGATAGTTATAGGTATCGATAGTCGTATATGTCGATAGTCGTATATATCGATAGTATATAAGAGCTAGGCGAGAAGCGTAAATTCGAGGAAGCGACAAGGATATCGAGTCCCGCTAAGACCCCGGATCTAGTATAGTAGAGCGCTTGATTAGTAGGATTAAACGTTATAGCTGCTTCCTTCTACGTATTTGCAATACCGACTTTACGACTTTTACGACTTTTATAATAGCATATCACTAATGTAGCGAGATACGCCGATTTAGCGCGTTTCTAGCAAATAGCGCTAACAAAAGTGTCTAACACGATAACGACGGCCGCCTTAGGTACTAAGAACCGCCTCTAAAACCCAAGAAGTTACTAATACTAGCGACACTA